TGTATATTTGCTTTTTTTGTTGTTTATTATCCATCTCCCCCCACTAGGATAGAGCTCCATGAGTCAGGAATTCGTGTCAATTTTGTTCACTGCTTGAAATTGAGCACCTAGAACAGTGTCAGCACATGGTAGGCACTCAATAAACACTTGTTGGATGAATGAGAGGCCAGATTCTTCTGGGATGCCCACAGCCTTTCTGTCCACTCTTCAGCTCCTTCATGGGGCATTCTGCCTCTACTTACCCTAAAGTGTTAGTGTTCGCAGGGCTCTGTCATTGTGCTTTGGATACTCATTCTATTCATCTTATGCATCACCTGGCCAAGGCTATTTTAGGGTTCTTGTAAGCATCATAAGATAATGTTCATAAGGCCTTGACATACTAGACTAAATATTATTCCTTTAGAAACAAACATAACATAGGAAGTCTATGTATACATTCCACAAGCAGAAAGCTGATATGCAAGTGCCTTGAATAATCATTAGAGATGACTGACTTCAAGATCCTGTATCCCACTCAGTGAATTTTCTCAATTTTAAGGTCACTATGGCATCCAAATCCATCATGATGGCCCCCATTTGTCTAGTGAAAAACTGGAAAGAACAGCTGATGGTGGACCTGAAAGCATTACAGATTCTTGACAAGATTTCTCAGCCTGTGGTGGTGGTGGCCATTGCAGGGCTGTATCGTACAGGAAAATCCTACCTCATGAACCACCTGGCAGGACAGAACCATGGTGAGTGTTGTCTTGGGGTGGGGCCATTTGCTTGGAACCGGTGATTACACAGGCTGATCACACCTGCTCTAGGGTTATGTTAAGGAACTGCATGACTCCTGCCAATGAAGAAAACTTCTAATTCTCACCATCAAATTTACAAACTCAACCTCATCTGTCAACAAAATCTCATTCTTTTGTCTAGTGATAAAGAATTATTCCAGCCCTATCTAAAGATCTGCTCCACTGGTCCTCTTGATCTCATCCACACTCACCTGCTCAGAAGCTGAGCTCTAGCAATTAGTTCCTTTCTCTCTCCTGTATCACTTTTGGACAAGGTACGTTGTCATTTCAACCAGTACACAAATGTAGTTGAATATAACCTGTCGTTAAAAATAGATAAGCAGAAGGGCAAACAGTGGGATCTTTGTATATCCTTATATAAATTGGGCTGGCCGCCATGGGGTCTACCCAGGATGCTGAGGTATGGAGCTGGGGACTGACCCCTTCCCACAACCAAACACACTGCCAACACCACAGGGCCCACTCAGGGTCCTGAGATACGGAGCTGGGTGGCACAGTCCACGCCATGGTAGGGTCTTGAAAGGAATAGCTTGGGCTGCCCTTTCTGAGTTGGCAAGGCCCCGGAGGGAGAGCTGCTGGCAGGGCCACAGCTACCAGCACTTGCTTTCATTGTAAAGATCTCTGCCTTGGCATAGTGGTGCTGCTTTCACTTTCTCTTTTGATGTTTTGGTCAGCGTGGCAGTTTCCTGAGTTTCCAAAAGGTGCAAAAAATGACACACAAAGAGTTGTTGTTGTAAAATTAGATTATCCCACAAAAGATCCAGGAAGATTGAACAATCCCAAATTGTCCCTTTTGAGTCAATTTATTACAC